TGCATTTTCTATAATTTTCGAAATATTAATAACAAGATGCCTGTCTCTAGCCACGTACAAGCTTTATATCTTATACTCATTTTTAGGATATCTATATGATATATTTTACACATTATCGTATTTGAAATAAGATATGTCTTGGATATTGTATACGGATGTATATCAGTTGGACACGAGGCAATTGGACACAGTCCAATCACAAGTCGCTGTTCCAAGGGACCCTACAAATGTCTCTAATCACACGGTGCTGTGATTGGCTGTGTCCAAATGCACCGTGTTCAAGTGCACCGCTCCCATTGTATATGGGGATATTTTCAAAATTTATTTATTATGATATACTAATAATATTATCAAGAGATTGAGATATATTTCGCATATCCGCGATGATTTTAGTATATCCCATAGATATCAATTGCTGTATGGGATACAATTATATAAAAATATATATAATTATATATTATTATATATCAAATTTGTTCATTCATGTTCATACATTCTACTTATATATATAATTATGTATAATTATATATATAAATTCATATATAATTTTACATAATTACGCATAGATTTATATGTAATTATACATATTGTAATAATTGTATATAATGATATATGCCATACAGCAGAGATGTCCAAAATATATCATAAGGATATCCTAAAAATATATTTGGGATATGTGATATTTTCAAGATATCTTTATGATATATTTGGGACATTCCTACTGTGTGGGATAATGTTATATGATTATATATAATTATATATGGACAAATTTCATACATAATTATGCATGAAAAATTTTTCATCGGGTTTATATGGTCTATTTTATTCACTTAATTAACTACAATCACTTGATCTAGTTAAATCGCTAGAAATTGAAATGTCGAACTTTGAACGTTTATCTGCTTCATTTGTCTTTTTAGCGATAATTAATGGAGTGGTGGTAAACGCCAGCTTTTATTCGCTAAAGGTTGGACTGTGTCGAACTTTGAGCGTTTATTCGCTACATTCGCCATTTCGGTGAAAATTTATGGAGTGGGGTGAAACGCCAGCTTTTATTCGCTAAAGGTTGGACTGTGTCGAACTTTGAGCGTTTATTCGCTACATTCGCCATTTCGGTGAAAATTTATGGAGTGGGGTGAAACGCCAGCTTTTATTTGTGTGAAATCGCACCTTTATACGCTGGCAACGCTCACAAGCGTCAGAGCCCTCACACATGAAATGACATAACTGCATATAGCGAGGTGAAAGTTCGCGCGACAGCCAATCAATATGCTGCTTTCCGTAATAACCTTCTATCTCTTACGGAAAAACAACATACTGATTGGACTTCCGCCGCGCGGCAAGCATTACCGCGTCCTGTGCGCAGGAGCCATTAGACCATGATGGAAGGATAAACGTTACGCATGCGCTTTGCATAGACAGAATACTGATATTGATACAGAAAAAGACAGGCGAGCATTGTCTGTACTGTAATGTTGCGGTAGACCGCTGAGAGCTCTACGCGCCATATATTAGTATTACATATATGAGATATTCCTTCGTCCATGGTGGGACCCGATTGACCATGGTACGTTGGACACAAATTGTAATGATTGGTTCGATCTGGTAATTCATTAAATAATTATTTGCATCGATTGGTTGTGTCCAATTGTACCGTAGTCAATCGGGACGTTCCCCCGCAACACTTAGGGCCCTCACACATGAAATAACTACATGTGCATACCATAAGACTGTATGGACCAATGAGCATCAAGTATTTAGCCGTTATATTGATGCTTAATGCTCAATACTCGATGCTCATTGGTCCATTCAGTCTTATGCTATGCACATGTTGTTATGTCATTTCATGTGTGAGGGCCCTTAGGGTTGCGTTCAAATTCCCCACCCGGATGTATTCTATTACTAGAAGTGTTACAGTATATGTAACATATACTATAGGGTGTTTATGATAAGTTGTCGGATTGGAAATCCGACTGAACAGTGGTACTCAATTGACCTATTTTAAAAAATTCCCTAGCTTAATCAGATTTTAGTAAAAGCTGTCTCAGCAGTAATCGGATTAGCTTCATAGCGACGTGAGGTGATACTTTGTCCTCAAGAAAAATAAAAAGATAAAAGTCGGTAGATAAAAGTCATTACAATGAAGAACTACATTTTTAAAATAATTCCTTATTTTAAGATGTGCTTCTCCGACATGGTATATTGGCCAGACATCGTTATCATTGTTATTAAATAGAGCATTCCATATATAAAATATACCCATCCTTTTATATATATATATATATATATATATATATATATATA